AATGGACGACGGTTTTTTCAAACTCTGTGAATATTTCTTCAGCAGCCGCAGTTAGACGCTGGCAGATAAAGTCTTTAATATGCCGAAGCGAAGACATTTTGGAAGCAAATATTCCGCCCACACAGAAAAACACTGCCGGCTTCCCGCACACACTTAGCTAAGAGTCATTGTGTACTCCGCGCCTTTATTTACTTCCGGTCAGTGTTACGGGCTAAATGGTCCGACTGTGGACGCCAGTTAGCTTTGAACATTCGTCATTACCGATCTTTTTGTGTCGATTAAAAAACTTGAATATTAAGCTGTTTTTTTTTTTAAACAAAAGCGTTTATGTTTGTAGTCGAACAACATTCCACGGTTGTGTAATTCCACAAAAACATCTGCGATGATAAACATCCACAATTTGAAGTTCAAACTGCTTTACAGTTAGAAAACTTAAGAATCTTTGGATTTAGGGAAGTCTATTCGAAGATAGTAATAAAACCCAGGTTTAAAACTCGAAGGAAAAAAGGAAATGCGACGGAGGTCAGACAATAAAAACTGGCAACGCTTACTATGAGTAAACAAACTGAAAATAAGGATTACATGATAGGAACTATTACATTAAGTTAAATTACATTAAAAATGTCTTGTATATTTTCTCTGTTAGAATACAGTTTTTAAAGTTAGAGCTTTAGAAATTTGTAACATACGAATATCAGTTTAAACTTTAGAGCTGTGTTTGGTTCCTTATGACTAATTCAAGTGTTTGTGAATGCTATCCTTATTTTTAGAATAAAACAAATATTTTCTTCTGATAAGCTGAATTTGCTGCATGGGTCTGACGTCACAGGGCCCAGGGGCTGGTTTCTGGAGCGCAGAATATGCACAGGGACACTAAATGTTTCTTTCAGCAGCTGCCATCAAATGTCAGAACAATAAAGCAGTCCTATGAAACATGTCCTAAAACCCTCCGATTTTACAATAATTTAGCAATATGGTGTACAGACAATGTGCAACGTGACCAATTGACCAGCTTTTACGTCATCTAATTCATAGTTTCAGTCATCTGAACCCTGTACATAAAGATTTGCTCAGCCATATAAGCTAGACAGAAATGTACAATATCCATCACAATTGCTGAACACCACTCCTCTCTCATCCGTGGATCTGGCTCTCAGGGTGACCACCTGTCTCGGCCTCAATCCGGCCACTTTCACCTTAACGGGCTCGTCAAACAAACATCGAGCCAATGGCAGCAAACTCAGTCTCACCTGAAGCCTCTAAGAATTTACAAACTCTAAAACAACTGACAGTGGGGATAAACCCACACAAACATGGGGCGTCCATCACACAATCATGAACACTTTTTCCTGTCTTTGTGGACTCTTTCATGAACTTTCAATCGTTAGTCCAGGATAAAATCTTTCCCACAAATTCCACAAGAAAACGATCACTCACCCGAGTGGGTTCTTTTATGGACATCAAGGATACTTTTTCGAGAAAAACGTCTCCCACATATAGTGCACATATAAGGTTTCTCACCTGAGTGGGTTCTTTTATGATTATAAAGAATACCTTTTTGAGAAAAACCTTTCCCACATATAGTGCACACAAAAGGTTTCTCACCTGAGTGGGTTCTTTTATGATTATAAAGAATACTTTTTTGAGAAAAACCTTTCCCACATATAGTGCACACAAAAGGTTTCTCACCTGAGTGGGTTCTTTTATGGACATCAAGAGAACATTTTAC